AACTTCCTAAATGAAAATTGTAGATCTCCAAAAGTTATGAAACTATGTAGTTGACAACTTTTTGATTTGAAATCATCTTATCATGCAAAACTACGTTTGAATCTCTCAAATTTAAAATTCGAATTTTTCAAACGACCTCAGATGGAAAAACTTCCTAAATGAAAATTGTAGATCTCCAAAAGTTATGAAACTATGTAGTTGACAACTTTTTGATTTGAAATCATCTTATCATGCAAAACTACGTTTGAATCTCTCAAATTTAAAATTCGAATTTTTCAAACGACCTCGGATAGAAAAACTTTCTAAATGAAAATTGTAGATCTCCAAAAGTTATGAAACTATGTAGTTGACAACTTTTTAATTTGAAATCATCTTATCATGCAAAACTACGTTTGAATCTCTCAAATTTAAAATTCGAATTTTTCAAACGACCTCGGATGGAAAAACTTCCTAAATGAAAATTATAGATCTCGAAAAGTTATGAAACTTTGTAGTTAACCACTTTTTGATTTGAATTCGTTTAGGGCCTCAAACAAGCAATTTACTCTCGGTTTAGTATAATATATGGGGATAGATAACGGAATCTAGGCACAAGTGACAGTGTAGTGTAGTGGTAGAGCAGCAGACACGCGAGGTAGAGTTCGTGAGTTCGAATCCCGCCGGCCGCGAATTTAGCGCAAAAAATACACCGACTTCGATGAAGACGGGCGGACGTTGGCTGGTGGCGGCCTCAAAAAAAAAAAAAATTTTGAAAAATTTTGCTATTATTTTTTGTTTTTTTTTTGCATTTTCATTTTGCCGAGTTAAAATCTTTGCCGAGTGCTTTTCCGGCACTCGGCAAAGGCTTTGCCGTGTGCCCGACAAAAAGCACTTAGCAAAGCTTCTTTGCCGAGTGCCCTTTGCCAAATACGACACTCGGCAAAGCCTTTGCCGAATGTATTTCGGGCTTTGCTGAGTGCCTTGAGCTGCTACAACCTACGCATGCATATACGAAGGGTACCCCCACCAAGTCTCATCTATATCTTCAGCCAGCATAACACTCCATTCCATCTGAAGGATAGAATGGGTCTCTCCACCAAGCTTTTTGTGGTCCTCTTCCTGCTCCTCATTGGTTATACTGGTATGTCATGATGATAAACCCACCAAATGAATAGTTTGGAACCGGAAACGCTGCTTGTATTTTGAAGCCTTTCAAGATCGTTCGCCAAAAACAAAGTCATTCAAGAAAATGTACATGAGTGTTTGTTTTGTGTTTGTGTTTACAGAGATGCAGGGAACCAGTGACTATGGCATTAGCGAGAAAGTGCCAGTCGAAGAGCTTCCACTTCAAGGGACCCTGCTCGAGAGACCCAAACTGTGCAACCGTTTGCCGGACAGAAGGTTTTACCGGTGGCAAGTGCAGAGGCCTACGCCACCGCTGCTTCTGTACCAAGGACTGCTAGTTGCCTCGCGTGCTGCATGCATATGCATGTCCCGAACGGATCAGGAAAATATGTATGCGTTACCAAATGGCAGTAGCACATGAATGTAGTAAATAATGGGAACGAGTCTATTTTGGACATTGAAGTGTTAAGAGCTTATGCCCGTACTTGGGTATTTATTAGCATATGAACTCTAAAGTGAAATATCTTTGTTCCTCGAACTATTAAAACTGGATAACTTAAGTACTCCACGCGTTGGGTCTGGGGTGATGCCATAAAAAGAGAGAGTATTCTGGCATCACTCTTTGAGTCTATGACAGTGCGACCACTGATGCTAGAGCTTAAAAAAAGAGTCTGTCTACTACACAACCACGTGTTTTATGCAGTTTCAACACATGAATTTTTTTGCACCATAGGATTAAGATCCAATAGCCTCCATCCTTCTTCTACCTCCGGTCTCCACAGACCACAGATCACAATTTTTTTTCTATGGAAGGACAAATCACAGATAGGCCACTGACGCCGTCGTCGTGGATGAGGAGTGGGGCGAGTAGCACGGCCGCCGGACCACGAAGGGAAGCAGCGCGCTGCCGGTCACGGAAGTGGCTGGGCCGCACCGCTGCCGGTCGGGGAAGGGGCCGGACAGCGCCGTCGGCGGTTGGAGGATCGATGCCACGGGAGGCAGCTGGCCGTCGACGTTGCAGCCACCATCAGTGAGGGGAGGGGCGTCGCAGGCTCGCAGCTGGCTCCGACAGGGGAGGGGCCCTGCCGCCACCGAATCCCACCTCATGGTCGTGGAGGGCGCCGCTACCGAGATCCACAAATGGCGGAGGCGGGATGACAGGGATTAATGCAGGTGCTGAGACCGAGAGGGAGAGGACGGGAGAGGAAGAGAGATAAAAAAATCCATATATTTTTTTTCTGCTAAAACACATGTGTGTTGTATAGTATTTCTGGAAAAAAAATGGGAGCATATCAAGTTGAGGAATCGATGCCCACCTATTAAACAAAGAGGAAAATTGAAGACACGGGGTCCTCATTGCCTTGTTTATCTTTTTTACTATGTCATGGGACCCAACAGACAACAGTTGTGCCGATTTCCAAGTGGAAGGTCCTAGAGCATCTCCACCGGATGTCCATTTCCCTTCCTCTTAAAATCTAGTATAGAAGATTATCACGCACGAGGCGGAGCAATGGGTTCAGGCAGGTGCGAAGGACCTTGGTTGTTTGTTTTCCAATGTAATAACATCATAAACAAGATGCACACTATGGGGGCATGAACTTTAAGGGCTATCCATTGTAAGCCTCCGTTAGAGCGCAATGAAGACGCGTTGTAAACAATTATCTCTATCTTAATACAAAGACGTCCATACCCAGTGGGCCACGATCTTAGGCTCTAGTAGTCTTTTCCCCCTCCTTTCTCTTTCTCTACTGCTGCCTTTTTTTCTCCACACCAAGGCCTTCCAACGTGCGCTTGAGCGATGCCTTAGCTGTCAAAGAATATATTATTTATATATTCCATGTCATGCTTCGAGCATGCAGATGGTACTCCTCCATCCCATAAAAAGTTATATAATTATCATTTATATACCGGGTCATCTTGCAATGCCGCGAGGTGGTAAGGGCGTGCTTGGTGCCATGCAGCCAGCCTGGCCTGGACGGTGCTGTGCAGGAACCAGCCATTTGGTACTTTGGTTTCCTGCAGGGATGTCAGGGCCTGGCCGGCGACATGCCAATCGCCGTATGCGCATAGCCTGGTTCGTGGGGAACGCAGATGGTCTCCGTTTCTTCAGAGCCTGGCTCGTGTGGGCGCATCACGTGGATCCTCCGTGAGAGAGCGGGTGCAGCAGCAATCAAGGGCGTGTTTGCGACCCTGTACCTGGCCGGCCTGGCCAGCCCAACTGGCCCAGGCCTGGGCAGGCCTGCCCCAAGTGGTGCAACTGCTCTTGTTTGCGCCTGTGTACCCAGTGAGCCCGGCTCAGGCGAGGCTGTGTTTGTCATCGAAGAGGCAGCCGGGCTGAGAGGCTAACCGCCACCAACTGCCACACCGAGATAGTGTTTGTCATTTGGCTGTGGTCGGCCAGGCCCATAACAACAAACAGAAATGGACATGAATGAAAGGAGAATGAGGTTGCTCTTCCATAACCGTTACAACAACAAATCAAAGTTTCAGCATGCAATAGTTGGCCTCAGACATGCTAGTTTAACAATTCATGGCATTACTGGCTACATGGGATAATCAAAGTCAGTAAAGAAGAACAGCAGCATCCGCTAGTCAAGTTTTGAAGCCAACAAACGAAAAAGTTCACAGAAACAGATAAGAGGCAGCAAAATGATATGTAGCCAGCTAATGCATCGATCCATTGTGTCATCATTGGCCAAAATACAACATTTAACAGTTTGGCAAGCCGAGAAGGGCAACAAGTTAACAGAAAGCATGTAGCCAGCTAATGCAGTCATCCTATTGTGTCATCATCGGCCTAATTAAAACAACAGCTGTGGCACATGAACAGCTTGAGTGACAGACCAACTACAACCATAAACAAGATCAAGATGACAGCATTTTTGCAACAGCCTTGCAGCCCAGGTGAATGAGGATAGATTTCAGAACCTTGAGCTGTCACTAGTTCATGGGATGCTGATGCATCCCCATGAGGGGCATGAATTGGTAACAGCAAGGGTTCTTGAGGTACCCTTGCATTAAAATCTCTAAGAGCATCATCATAGTTGTTGTACTTCTGATAGATAGCCCCTTCTTCCCTAAGCACTTGCTTAGCACACTCGTACCATGTAAAATAAATCCCAGGTTTCTTCCCTTCAAATACCACATAGCAGGGAGGCATTCTCTGAAACCAACCAAATGTAGAACATGTAAGTGGCCTGAATGACATGCCTTAGTCGACCATTCAGTTTCAATGATGGTGAACATCATCGGCTACTTGATAAAAAAATTAGCCTCAGCTTAGTAGTTTGGTGGTTTTTTTCCTTGTTTAGTCATTGGTGGCTACCAAGAATTGTAAGAACCAAATAAAGAGGCAAATAAACAATAGTTGCACTCACTGCCATACAGACCTTTTGATCAGTTGCACTCACTGCCATCAGCCATCACAAGAGGATGTTGTTGCTGTGGAGTACAACTGAGCATAAGTGTAGAATGGAAGGATAGGCAAATAAAGAAGAAAGCACAACAACAAAACCATCAAAACAAGAATAAGGTAGCCACCTCAAGTTTGTTTTATGCATCATAGGCCTTTAAATCCCACAGTTACCACCAGAGGCATAAACAACACAAATAGGCAACTAGTTATCAAATAAAAAGTAGCCAACAGAGGCTACAAATAAGTTTCTTACAATACCAAGTTCAGCCCAACAGCCAAGGGCTCAAATGTTCCCAAATCCTTGCCTATTGTTAGCCACCCTCCTAGGCAAACTACACCATCAAGGTCAGGTGTCAAAAGAACAAGCAGACTGCACAAAAGGTCCTGTTGTCAAAAGAAGAGAGTGGGTGAGGGGGGGTGGAGGAACTATACATCTCTGATCAACCCCTCTTGGCCTTCTAGCCCTTCATGTGTAGTGGAACTACACATAGTAGTTTTTGGCCAGGAAGGTCCTAAGCCAAAGGGCCCTGTGGGCATCACTCATGTTCACAAAGCCCCTGTCTTGGGCCTTGTTGTCTAGGAGGAAGGTGTAGGCAACAATAAGTGCCTCCTCACTGAAGCCAGGCATCTCCATCACAGCAAGGTATAGATTGGCATCAACATGGGCAGGTCCAGTCTCCCTAAGAGCATTGGCCACATTGTTCACAGCATCTGACATGTTAGTCAACATGAGCATCTCCTCCTCAGAGAAGTTCCCTCTCTTCCTCTTTGGGCGGCAGGTGAGGAGGTAGGAAGCAGTTCGGTGGCCTTGCTATCCCTCCACATTCACTTTGGGAGGCTGTGGTGTGGGTCAAAGGAGGACCATCAGCCTTGGCACCAACACTGTCAGCCTGGTTCTGCCCTAAGGCTTCACCAGACCCAAGTGCAAACTTGCCTGTGGCCATGGCATTAGCAAAGATAGCCTCCACCTTAGTGTAGAACCTAATAGGGCAGTTAAGAAACTCTGCATCTTTAGGATGGTCCTGCAGAGTTGGGCAAATGTAGTTTAAGAAAGGCAAGTGTAGGTAGTCAAGGCAAAGACGAGATCAAACTGCTACCTTGCAGTGGCCAAGGTAGTGCTCTTGCTCAAGCATGAGAGCATGAGCCTGGTCATCCCAAAGAGCACCACTAAGGTCCTTCAACTTGCTCACCCTAGCCCATTTCTACCTCCACTTCCTCAAGTGATTGTACACTTGAGTTGGGCTAACAACCTCCCCACAGAACAGCTTGAGGGCTTTGGCCACAGAATTCACATCTTTATCCTTGAAAACCTTGTCAGGCCTGCTACCATCACTAACAAGGGCAGCCATCCTCCTTAGCACAAAGCTAGAGGTGGTGTTGGTCCACCTCATTGCCCTCACAGCCCCATTCCCAGCTACAGGAGCAGCAACATCACTGTGGTTTTTCTTTGCACCTAGAGCGACACCAGTACCTGTGAGGCAAGTGACACTAGCACCAAAGACACCGGCTACAACAAAGCGAGAACCACCATTGATGAGCTGCTCCATCACTGAAGTACCAGCAACAAACCCACCCTCAAATGCACCTGAATCCATCCTAGGACTGGCAACAATATTAATAGTTGTATGAATAAATAACAGACTAACAGATCATGAAGAACAGAATGATTCAAGAACAGAATGAATGAAGCATAAAATTGGTCTCAGCTTTGTCCACCAAATTATTACATCACCATGACACACACATGAGTTCCATAGCAGGTCTGAAACTAAATTCAAGAACATATTACATCAACTAGTGTTTGTTCCCCTCCTTCCCACATAGCATTGCAAATGGCATCCCTTATTTCAGCCATGTCAATGAGTCTTGGTCCGAGATAAATTGGGCTGGGGACAGGTTGGTTGGATCAGCAGAAGTAGTGAAACCTTCCTCATCAGGCACTACTTCATCAATGCCAAAACCTAGGATCCGGTTATGCAAAATGGCACAGGCAACTACAAGCTTCACTTGTGTCCTATACTTGTAGAAGGGTTTGTTGTCCAAGATCCTAAACCTGCCCTTCAGTGCACCTATAGCCCTCTCCACAGTCACTCTAAGTGATGAGTGCCTAAGGTTGTAGAGATCCCTTGCATTGGTGGGCTGTTCCTTGGGCCATACTCGGACAAATGGTACCTAAACCCCACAGCAGGGAGGTAGGAAACCATTTTGCATGCATACCAGCATCTACCAAGAACATTTTACCTACACAAGACATCTCTTTGTGAGAGTGTGTGTTAATTGGCCATGGAATATGTAATTAGTGTTGGTGTGCAATTACCTTCTGGCAAACTCAAGCCATCTTCCCTGGCTATAGCATCTGCCAAAACAGTTGCATCATGGGCAGAGCCCTCCCAGCCAGCCAGGACATAAGTGAATTTCAGATCACAATTCACAGCTACCATCACATTTTGAGTGGGATCCTTTTTCCTACCCCTAAAAGCTTGTTGCATGCGCCTAGGAACCCTTGCTAGGAAATGAGTCCTATCTATAAAGCCAATGACATCCTAAAAAGCATGGGTCAGTCATTGCAACAGGTCTAATGTAACTAATGAACCCAGGGTATACAATTACCTTAAAATATGGATTCCATGTATGGCTTCCAAGAATCTTTGGGTGAGTGGTAGTGCTAGCTGGCTTTATCATTTCATTCCTAAGCTCACCCACAAAGACATACAACACCGATGGAAGTGCTTGTGGACAGTTTGGATGGACCTCCTAAAGGGTAGTGGACAACCCTAAATCTTTGGTTGTGCCCAACAACATGTAAAAAACAAGGCAACTTTGCTCTTCTCTCTCGACACCCCCTCCCTATCAGTGACAAGACTCCTCTCTCTAAAAGTTCTCACTAACTTAAAAAAAGCAACTCTCTTCATCCTAATCATAGAAATACACTCTGAATCAGTGGAATTGTATATCATTCTAAGTGTTCTCTCGTCTCTGTCTTTGTTCATTTTCATCCCTAATCAGGGCCAGTGCTATAGGATTAGGCAGTGGGGTTTCAGGTTCAGGGGTTTTCCTTTTCAGCCTAGTGGATACAAAGGTAACCATAACAAATGATCAAGGCAATGCCTGCCTTCCTACACAAACATGTCTGGCTCAAAGATAGATCCATCTACAAGCATGTAAAAATGTAACATGATTTCAACTTAATGTACCCTGCTAGGCATCAACATGAATGTGAAATGAATGCATGCCAACAAAAGCTTCCAAATTTGCATCTTGTATGTGATGCCTCCTAGTACTAAATTTGGACAACATCATCGACCAATGATGGAACAAAAAACTCAGAGCAATAGTAATCAGAAACAGATCAACATCCCTAACACATCAAGAATAGCAAGGTACAAGTAACACTAACAAGCGCATCAAGCAGTTATGAACAAAGAAGGTACAATACTAATCTAAAGCAGATCAACAACCCTAACGAGATCACGATCCCAACAGATCAAAACGAAGAAGGTACAAGTAACCCTAATAGGAGCATGAAGCGGTTATAACAAGTATGAAACCCTAACGGATCATGAACAAGAACGAACAAGAAACCCTAAGAACTTCAAGAAGCACCACAAAAAAAAGAAGATTGGAAATTCGATTTCACCTTGGCTCGGGGTCCAAACAACGGAGAGGAGGCAGATCTGGAAGTAGAGGATGCAGATCGGGAAGAAGGCGAAGCAGATCTGGACGGAGAAGAAGAGGAACACGCGCCACGGAGTCCCAAAGAGCACCGGAGAGGCGGGGGCGGCGAAGAACCTCCCAGACACGGTGACCTAACCCACAACCAGCCGGAGGTCGCCGCCGCCGCCACGCACCACAACTCACCTTGGTCTCTCACGAGGGAGGTGGAAGAGCAAGCACCGAGTGGAAGAAGGAGAGAGTGGAGAGTGGGAACCCGATATATAAAGGCCGTGAAATCGCCGCCATTTTCGCCAGGCAGTGGCAGGCTGCAGGAAGCGGGCGGAGAAGCGGGACGCTACAAGACGTTTCCCCTTCCCGCCAGAGCCCGCGCGAGCCACCCCACCACCTCACGGTGGGCATTCGGTTAACCGAAACCGATCGGTTCGGTTCCTCGGTTATTTATGAAATTCGGTTAGCACAAAACTTAGAACCGATCGGTTAGCTAGAGAACTTGGAACCGAGGAAATTCGGTCTCGGTTAGTTCGGTTCGGTTTCGGTTAGAACCGAACTAATCGAGCCCTACATTACATCAGCGAAACAGAAGGGAAAAAAATGGGAAAATGAAAAAAAACAGTGGCAGTCACCCCTTCGTCCAGATCCGACCTCTAGGGCAGCGGGCACGCACCGGACTCGGCCTCGACCTCTAGAGCAGACACCGGCGATAGGGGAGGACCGGGGACAGGGGAGGCGGTGGATCCGCTGTCGAGAAGTGCGCCGGGCCTAAATCCACCGCGGGGGGCGGGCCCACCATAGATCTGGTCGCCCTCCACTGGATCCAGCCATGGGACGGTGGTGGAGGTGCTTCGGGGTGTGGGAGGGGCCGCCCGCCGTGCCTCTGCCGTTGAAGGAGGGGCCGCGCACCCCGCGCCGTGCCGTCGCTGGAGGAGGTGCCGTGCCCACCGCGTCGCCTTGTCATGGGAGGAGGGGCGCGCCCTGCGTCAAGGTTGCCTGGAAGGGGACGCGCTGAGCTCTGAAATGGAGGGAGAGAAGGAGAGGGAGAAGGAGAGGGAGGCCAGAGTGGAGAGGGAGAGGGAGGACGGAGCGGAGTGACCGAGAGAGGCGCGCTTGGTCTCGGTCTCGGGAAGGGAGAGGCGGCTCGGTGGGAGAGGGAGGCATGCGGTGAGACAGAGAGAGTGAGGGAGGAGTCAAGAAACCCTAAAGGTTCTGTATTTATACTTGAGTCGGTTCTTTGGTTTTGTTCGGTTAACCGAGGTCTGGAACCGAATTACCCGACATTATTTCGGTTCCTGAGAACTGGGAACCGAACTAGGAACCGAAATTTTCGGTTTCGGTTAATTCAGTTTCGGTTCCGGTTATTTCGGTTCGGTTCTCGGTTTTCGGTTATTTTTGCCTAGGGTTACCGCCGCCGCCCAAAATCGCCCGCGTGCGTCGCAGACGAGCTCGGATCCAAAGAAACGAGGGTTTCGATCGTTTCCAGAGAGCCAGGCGGAGAGGTCGATTTTTGCTCTGGGAAGTCAGGCTCGCTTGCGGGCCATCGACCACAAACATGGCAACTTGCAGCCCACGGGCGCAGCCGGGCCTCCGGGCCAGGGTCGCAAACGCGCCCCAAAGGAACGGCTAACCAAAAACAACCGATGTACTCGTTCTGTATGTACATATGCAGTCAACCAAACATCAAGGCCTTGTATGCAACAAGTCTGTCTCAACTTGGCCTGGTGTTGAGATGAGCGAGCCAGGCTCTCCTCGTCATGGTACCAATCCACACCCTAAGAGATGGATGTGCGTGAGGTGAGGAGATTTGGCATGCAAAAACAGATTTTTAGAAAGTTACAAAGTTACCTTCACAACTTTTGTGTATAATATTTTACGTGACATAACATACCACCACAACTTCTAATTATAACCTTTTAAATATATTTTTGATAAAAATTTATAGACATTTTATCATGACAAATTTTCTACATAACCTTTGGAAGAAAGAATTGAACAGAAAAAGAAAATCTTAGAAAAATAATAAAATACATCGGGCATCACCATCATCCTTCTCATGAGGAACCTAAGATGATAAACATGCACCCAGTAAGGCAGTCACAGCATTGGAGCACATTAAGGCTGCCGTTTCGGCAGTGTACTGGGCTACTGGCTATAGTCAGTTTGTAACGCATAAAATAAAGGACTTTGTTGTGGTACCTCTAAATGACTGTGAGTCATTTATTTGTTTCACTCTGACGGTCACGATCAAATATTACCTCCTAGGAGGTAATAGAATAAATGTATATTTATTTAACTTTTTTATTTTATAAAATAGGATAAATAAAAAAAGTTTTAGATATAAAAATCTTTTTTCTAGATTTGATTGATGCATGCGTGATCGGACTGATATAGTAAATCTTTTTTATTTTATAACTTTGTACTTGATATATTTTGATTACCATTATTTTGTATGTAAATTTATACACTTGATTGATTTTGCATGTGGTAGGAATTGCATGTGTGTACGTGATTATTAGCGTGTCTACGTGGTTAGACTGTGTAGTGGTTAGCGTGCGTGCGTGTGTGTACGTGGTAACATGAGTAGGGGTAACGTGTTAACGTGTCAGGTAACGTGTAGGTCTAAAGTGCAGGCAACGTGTGTTAGCCATGTGTTAGTGCAGGTAACGTGTCTATACATGTTAGATGACTGTTGGTAACATGAGCATCTCCCGTGATTAGCCTGTGATTAGGAGCATCAGCATGCATGTGTTTAAAGTAATTTCCCTCCCGTCAATCCGTCATCAGGGGGATGCGGAGGTCTTATTTTGTTTTCCAGGATTTTTTATTTTATTAAGTAATTCATAAAATGTGAAAAATCAATGGCTCAAATTGATTTGAGATATTACCTCCTTAGAGGTAAAGTTTGTACCTTAGTATTGCCCTAAAATAAAAGTTTGTGTGCTCATCTTTAAACAACCCAAGAATATATGTACCTAGGTCATTTGAACTAAACGTCTATGATATTGGATGGACACTTAGGATCTTGAAAAAGGCAAGTTGTTAGGTGTTGGAAGGTCTTAATTTGGTAACCCGTTCTGAGATCAATCAATTGTTGAGTAAACATTTGAAGATATGTTTCTAGTATTGTTCTACTACCTATGTTTTGTGAGTGATATATATAGTTTCATGATATATTTGCTGAATTGCTCATATTTCTTAATATTGTTTCGCATGGAATTAATGATTTCTTGTGTAGTTAATTTGGGAATCAAATTTAAATGAGTGCTTACTAAAATGAGCCACTAATAAATACAACCATGCATGACTTAGTGTAGAAGAAACAGTTGATTGAAGAAAGAAAATCATACTCAAGAAAAAGACAAAAGACATCTCACAGTACTCATCAGCCATCTCATGAGGATCATAAGACGATAAACGTGCATTCAGTATGGTAGTAACAACATTGGAGCACATTCAGGCTGCAATTTGGGCAGTGTACTGGCTACAGCCAGTTTGTAACGGCATAAAAAATCTGTGTGCTCCTCTGTAAACCACCAAAGAATATCTGTGTGCTCCTACAACCTACGCAAGTACTCCCACCGTTTCAAATTGTAAGACGTTTTGTGTGGGGATATGACCCTCGGTATCCATAGGACAAGACATGGGCTGCATCATCAGAGATGACCCAGCCCACAAGATCAAGGCGTGCGCCGCACGGCACGGGACAGCGTGAACTGCAAGACTCCATGAAGATATGATTTATTGTATAATATAAAAAATGATACTTTCCTTGTAAGCCTATCCCTCCAGAGCATATAAGGAGGAGCAGGGTTCCCCTAGTCGACGGACCTCATACATCCCCATACAGATCCTGGGCTTCGCCTAAGGCATCTTATCACACGGAACATAATATCATAGCCAATACAATCCAACAGGCCACAGGAGTAGGGTATTACGTCGTGCTGACAGCCCGAACCTGTCTAACTCATGTGTCTTTATTGCCTTCTTGTTCTTGATCATGCACATCTCTGCCGATCAATCTACCTTCGTGGGATACCTCTCGGAGGACTGTCGATGATATTCTGTCGATAGTTGGCGCGCCAAGTAGGGGTGTGCGTGTTGTTTCCATGATGAACAAGATGGTACGTCTTGCAGGCTCTTCGTCCTCCCCAAAGCCCGACCAGATCTTCACGGTCGGATCGATCTCCTGGGTCATCAATGCTGACGGGGACGGAGAGATCATCGAGCCGGAGCGGATCGATTCTGCGTCGGCCACACCAGCACCTGCAACAGTAAATCCGATCTCGGAACCGCATTCGAGGTCGGCCAGAAGCTCGCCAACTGCCTCTCCCTCATGGAATCGTCTCTGACCACTCCGGTTCGGCGCCGACCACCTTCCGGTTCCGATCTATCGGAAGCCGATCGGGGAACTCCAGGGGATACTGCCACCATCCATCAGGATGCCCTAAGGGACAAATTTGCCGACCAGACGTTTTGACTAAAGGTAAGTACCTCTCCTATATCTGTATTTAATAAAGTCTTCTCCAATTATTATTTCTCCAATTATTCTCCATAATTAAATGTCTCCACATTTAATATCTCCGTGTCTAAGATGCTCCATAATGCAATATCTTGAACATATTCTCCATAAACTCGCCGACCAGCCACGTTCTCATTTGTGTTATCCAGAAGCGGCCCTATTCTCGATCTCACTCACACACGTGCACGAGCGTCGGCCCTCTGCGTTATGGGTGGTCGGCAATGGCTCCTCGGCGACGCCTGTGCTCTTACGCGTACACGGGTGTCAGCCACTCCGCGCTATAGAGTTTGGGCTAGTTGGGGCTGGTAATGCGATACAGAACCAACTGGCAGGAAGGTACTCATATTTAAAATATGAACACTTCATACAAACATAATGTTTATCTACTCCGCTCTGCTGCCTTCATCAGCTGAGTTCATATATTTTACATCATATACTACCTATTCTACACATTTGTTTCACAGGGGCACGGCTCGGACAACGAGCCTACACTCAAGGACTGGATAAGACGATCATCATTCGGGTGGTCGGACCACCTATCGGATGGACTTCACTACCAACCAGTTGGTCGGATTGCCTGGCACTCACTCCTGCTCAGCGTTCACTTCGCCGCCGACCAGTTGGTTGGATTGCTCGTCACATGGGCTTCATCGTCAGCTACGCTGGGTGCTCGCCAGTTAAGCTGGGGACTCCTCGGCGTTCCGATTCATCGCCGCCGACCAGTTGGTTGGGCTGCTGGTGCACGATTCTTCGCCACCAAACAACTGGTCAGATTGTTCGTCGCTTCATCGTCAGCTACGCTGGGGGCTCGCCAGTTAAGCTGGGGACTCCTCGACGTTTCGATTCATCGCCGCCAACCAGTTGGTTGGGCTGCTCGGTGCACGATTCTTCGCCAACCAACTGGTTGGATTGTTCATCGCTCCATCGTCCGCTATGCGTTGTGGCTCGCCAGCTAAGCTAGGGACTCCTTGGCGTTCCGATACCTCGCCACCGACCAGTTGGTTGGGTTGCTACATGCATTATTCTTCGCAAACCAATTGGTCGGATTGTTCATCGCTCCACCGTCCGCTATGCTAGGGCTCGCCAGCTAAGCTAGGGACTCATCGACGTTCCGATACTTCGCCGCCGACCAGTTGGTTGGGCTGCTCGGTGCGATTCTTCGTCAACCAACTGGTCGGATTGTCCGTCGCTTCATCGTCCGCTATGATGGGGGCTTGCCAGCTAACCTGGGGACTCCCTTGGTGGTCGGACCTTTCTACGTATCATCGATGTGCTATCAAGTTGCTCCATGTTGTTCGGATCATGGTGCTGATCTTGGGCAGCACGCTTTGTGATTTATTTTCTTTAACCCTGCTACAAGATTCATTCTTCATCTTCTAGCAGGCTCGAGGACTAAGTGGCTACACTTCACCTAGCAGTGAATGTAGTGCTCTTTTCTTGATTTACCCTCCTTATCGATTAAGTCATGGTTGATTCCTCGCAAACGGAGTCTAAGTGGCCACACTTTGCCTGGAGAATTTTTTAATTTTTATCTTGAGCTCCTTACATCCTTCTGGCAAGCCTTACTTGGCTAAGTCCGAGATCGATTAACCTGTTTAACTGGTCAGCTCCTACTTTCACCGCCCAAGTCACCAGTTACACTGGTCGGCTACGACTTTCACCGCTCAGGTCACCGGTTTAACTGGTCGGCTTTGACTTTCACCGCCCAGGTCACCAGTTTAACTGGTCGGCTACGACTTTCACAGCCCAGGTCACCAGTTTAACTGGTCTGGCTTCGATTTTCACCGCTCGGATCACCAGTTAAACTGGTCGGCTTCACGTCAAACTGCTCGGACTTGTTCAAGACAACATTGCTCAAATGATACAAGGCGCTTGGGGACTAGCTGTGGGGATATGACCCCCAGTATCCATAGGACAAGACATGGGCCGCACCATCAGAGGTGGCCCAGCCCACAAGATCAAGGCGTGCGCCGCATGACACTGGACGGCGTGCACCGCAAGACTACATGAAGATATGATGTATTGTATAATACCAAATATGATACTTTCTTTGTAACCCTACCCCTCCAGAGCATATAAGGAGGGGTAGGGTTCCCCTAGTCGACGGACCTCATACATCCCCATACAGATCCTGGGCTTCGCCTAAGGCATCTGATCACACGAAACATCATATCATAGCCAATACAATCCAACAGGCTACAGGAGTATGGTATTACGTCGCGCTGATGGCCCGAACTTGTCTAACTCTTATGTCTCTATTGCCTTCTTATTCTTGATCACACGCATCTCTGTCGATCAATCTACCTTCATAGGATACCCCTTGGAGGATTGCTGACGATATTCTGTCGACATTTTGACTTTTCTAGATTCATAGTTTTTTATACGCACCTAGATATATATTATGTCTAAATACATAGTAAAAGCTATGAATCTAGAAATGACAAAATATCTTATAATTTAGGACGAAAGAAGTACTGTATAAGAAGGGTACCTGTACCTAGTTTCATCTATATCTTCAGCCAGCATAACACTCCATTCTATCTGAAGACTGAAGGATAGAATGGGTCTCTCCACCAAGCTTTTTGCGGTCCTCTTCCTGCTAATCATTGGTTATACTGGTATGTCATGATGATAAACCCACCATATGAATAATTTGGAACCGGAAACGCTGCTTGTATTTTGAAGCCTTTCAAGATCGTTCGCCAAAAACAAAGTCATTCAAGAAATTCTACATGATGTGTTGCTTTGTGTTTGTGTTTGCAGAGATGCAGGGACCAGTGACTATGGCATTAGCGAGAAAGTGCCAGTCGAAGAGCTTCCACTTCAAGGGACCCTGCTCGAGAGACGTACGCAAACTGTGCAACGGTTTGCCTGACAGAAGGTTTTACCGGTGGCAAGTGCAGAGGCCTACGCCACCGCTGCTTCTGTACCAAGGACTGCTAGTTGCCTCGCGTGCTGCATGCATATGCATGTCCTGAACGGATGAGCTGGAAAATATGTATGCATTACCAAATGGCAGTAGCACATGAATGAAGTAAATAATGGGAACGAGTCTATTTTGGACATTGAACTGTTGAGAGCTTAAGCTACTTCGGTATTTTTTAGCATATATTAACTCTAAAGTCAAATATCTTTGTTCCTCCAACTATTAAAACAGGATAACTTAAGCACTCCATGGCGTTGGGACTTGGTGATGCTAGAAAAAAGAGAGTATTCTGGCATCACTCTTGACACTGCAATCACTGATGCCAGAGCTTAGAACACTGATGTCAGAGCTTAGAAAACTTGGAGCAAATCAAGTTGAGGAATTGGTGCCTATCGATTAAGCAAAGAGGAAAATTAAAGATGTAGGGTCCTCTATTCTAGCAAACCAAAAATAGTGGCAGGGTGCCGGCCTGTGGCACCTGTGTTTGGTTTGGGCCCTCTTACCAGGGGTAGTTGCAGTGGTCGCCAACCCAGTGGGTCGTGGTCGGACCAGGTTACGGTGCGGCCCTATAGGATGAAGCCAAGGTTCAGGGTTTTCTGGACCGACTTGCCTGGATTTTCTTTCTTGGTGCAAAGCTGTGGGGGCGGTCTTCTCCCACCGGTCTAGTTTTTTTCTACTCTACTTCGTTCAATACATTGTCTTGTTTATCATTTTGACTATGAGGGTGTTTGGGACTGCTACACAAACTCTACTCCACAAACTCCACCGTGGAGCAGCTTCATGAAAAACTGGAGTTTGTGGAGCACATCTTTAGGTGCTCTCACAACTCTATTTTTTCTCGAACAGAGTGCGTGGAGCTGAGACCGTTTGGCTAAGAAACGTGGAGCAGAGTTGAATGGAACGGAGGAGTCCCAAACACCCCCTATATATGTCATGGGACCCATCATACAACTATTTCTATGTATAACGTCTTAGAGCATCTCCACCAGATGTCCTTTTTCGGTTGGGGCGAAGCTACATTATGGCGTCGGGTTCCGCCGACCCCAATGACTGTACTCTACGATTTTCAACTGACCCCGGCAAAAAAAAAAGAACGTTTTTCCTCCTACATATGTAAGCTGCCAAAGCCAAATTGCAATTATTTGCAAATAAAATCAGGTGGGGAAATTCCCCCACCCACCCCGTTGAAATTTCAAACAAAAAAAAGAACGTATGACCCCGGCACACAGCAGGTAGCAGCCTGGCAGCCCAGCCGGCCAGCCTTGTAAAGCAACTACGCAAGCCACAAGAGGGCCAAGAGCAAGCGGCAGGCCCACTAGGCAATAGCCCAGTTCAATGACCTGTAGCAACATGGCGCCTTCGCACTCATCGACGGTTCCTCTCCTGACTCGACCCCTTCGGGTCCAAGTCCATTCCGTATCCTCGTTTTAGACTTCTCGCCTCGCATCATGAGTCGAAGTACCCAAATCCCCAATTTTGCAATTGCAATTGTTGAATAAGGATTTGATTTCTTGACATTAAGAAAAATATGTATAGCTTGCCTTTAGCATTGGAGACTTGATAATCTCTTAAACCAAGTTATCGATTTGCACCGTATACAATTTAGGGAGTTTTTGGATGCGGTAAATTCTAAATTGCCTACTATTGCGGTTTCAATCTCAAAAAATCTTTTGCGCTTTTCAAATTCTAGAGTTTGATAGAGTTGGTTAGGTCATACTTATTTGATTTCAGTTTATCAAAACTAAAAGATCTTAATCGTGAAAATAAATATTTATATTGATAAATGTGCGAGCTTATATAATATTATCCATAGCATTATATTACTGTTGATCAATATTATCAATTGTATTATTATCAGTCAGAGCTAAAAGTTGTTAGTACCATGTGTTTGGACTGACCACGGTGACATTTTATATATTTTGGCTTCGCCCCTGCTGCATTGTTGCGCTCCACCCGTGCAGAGGCCTTCCGCTTCACAGACGCCGTTGCGCCCTTGGTCTCCTTCGCACTATCGGGTCATCTTGCATTATTGCCCTGCTTACATTTGGCGAGGTGGCAAGAGATGGATGTGTGTAAGCCGTAAGGTGATGAGATTTGCCATGCAGAAACAGATTTTTGGAAAGTTACCGTCACAACTTTTGTGTGTAATATTGTTTGCCACATATATAACTTATTACCACAAATTCTAATCATAACTTTTTAAATGTATTTATGATAAAGTAGTATAGACAATTTATCATGACAACTTTTCTACATAACCTTTGGAAGAAATAATTGAACAAAGAAAGAAAATTTAGAATCAAGAAAAAGACGAAAATACATCTGGCATCACTCAACATCCTTCTCATGAGGAACCTAAGATGATAAATATGCATCCAGTAAGGCAGTCACAGCATTGGACCACACATTAAGGCTGGTATTTTCGGCAGTGTGCTGGCTATAGTCAGTTTGTAATGGCCTGTGCTCTTTTATAGTAGATATAGATATAGATATAGATAGATAGATAGATAGATAGATAGATTAGCCACCAATTACGACCATGACTTAGTGTAGAAGAAACAATTGATTGAAGAAAAAATCTTAGGCTCAAGAAAAACACCAAAGACATCTGTAAACCACCCAAGAATATCTGTGTGCTGCTACAGCCTACGCAAGTATATATAAGAAGGGTACCGGCCTGTACCTAGTTTCATCTTTATCTTCAGCCAGCATAACACTCCACTCCATCTGAAGACTGAAGGATAGAGAATGGGTCTCTCCACCAAGCTTTTTGCGGTCCTCCTCCTGCTCCTCATTGATTATACTGGTATGTCATAAGCCACACATGCGCATGTGTGGTGATGCCTAATAGATTTTAAGGCTTCAAATTTGCAAGATCCTACGAATCATTGCAAGATGTACATGAAGTTGTTTTGTGTTTGTGTTTGCAGAGACGCAGCTGGGACCAGTGACTATGGCAGTGGCGAGGAAGTGTGAGTCGCAGAGCCTCCACTTCAGGGGACCCTGCTCAAGAGACACAAATTGTGCAAGTGTTTGCTTGACCGAAGGTTTTTCTGGTGGCGTGTGCAAAGGCCTACGCCACCGCTGCTTCTGTACCAGAGACTGCTAGTTGCCTCACGTCCTGCATGCATATGCATGTCAGCAACGAATCAGTAAAATATGTATGCGTTACCAAATGGCAGTGGCACATGAATGAAATAAATAATGAAACAAGTCTATTTTGGACATTTAACTGTTGACAGCTCGAGCCTGTATTTATAAGCTTTTGGTTCTCGAACCATTAAAAATAAGATAACTTAGACTGCGTGGGAAGCGTGGTTAGCAATCTCAAACTCATTCAATTCAAAAAAAAATGGGATAACTCATGCCCTGCACAGCGTTAGTCCAGAGTAGACCTTGTTAGAAACGATAGCAATATAATCCATCGATTAACGCAGTAGATCAAACTGTAGATGACACAGATTTTAATCGTGAAAAACCCTCCCAAGTAAGAAAGAAAAACCACGGGCAAATTAACAAATCTTCATGCAATTATTCGGTGGGGTTATTTAAACGTCGGGATTACAACTTTTCTTAAACTTTTCTTATCCCAAGACAACGGCTTACATGATTTATATATAGAAATGGAAAACCCTAATAGCTTTTGGTTCTCGATCCATTAAAGAATTTATAACTTTTAGACTGCGTGGGAAGCCTCCCGGCGTTAGCAATCTCAAACTCATTCAAGTTAGCATTTAAAATGTACATAACTAAATTTGGATCACAGCGTTAGTCCAGAGTAGAGCTGAACAATCGCCAGATTGGATCAGATTCAGATTGAGCTAGAAAAAAAAAATGTTTGGGTCAAAAAAGCCCGATCTGACTCACTTGCGGGTTGGGTCAGGCTATTTCTCGCGTTTTCCTACTTTCGAATACAACCCGATGCACTGATGGGTTGGGTTGGAGTTTTTTCGGGCAGGTCCGATTGGATGACTCATGAACAGGTCTTGTCTGGAGCTTTGCTATAAAAAGCTTGAAAACTGGGAGCGAATCAAGTTGAGGAATTAGTGCACATCATATCAATTTAAACAAAGAAAACTGAACATAGCATAGTCATCTGCACACTACTTCATTAAGTCAATTGCCTGTTTTTTTTTTTTTGACAAGTCGAGCTGAGGGAGGGGGGGGAATCCATTGCCTTGTTGTTAATCTTTTTTAGCTTTGCCGTGGGACCCAACGGACACAATGGTCCCCATTTCCAAGTGGAAGGCCTTAGAGCATCTCTATCAGATGGCATTTCCTCTTTCCCTTAAAATCTATAAAAAATTGAGAAAACTGAATTACAAAGTACATGGGATATGTGCTCCAGCAGAAAGTCACATCCCCTTTATACATGAGACTCATGTGTTAGTGGTAAAGAAAACTCTCCTCTCATTTCTCTCAATCTTCTTATCTCAAGCTGCCGGTGGAGTGCCTGCTTTTGCCCGCCGCCACTCGCCCGACTTAGCAAAGCTGACGTAGGTGGCACGGGGCAGCACGAGACACAGGGTGTGGTGACGGCGATGGCGACATGGGGCAGGGCGGAGCTTGGCTTGGCTCGATAGCATTGACCGTAGATGTTAGTGAAAGGAGAAGAAAGGAGATTGAGAAAAATTGATGGTTGTTCCCTTTTTAAGGGAGATGGGGGAAGGTTTTGAGGCATTTATAATTTTTTGAGAAAGGGGTCTGCTGGAACATAATTTTTGCTTTCAACCCCTTCATCACCTATTATAAAGAAAGTGGATTATATTTGTTCAATCTGATGAAGATGTTGTATTATATTACTCCCTCCGTTCCAAATTATAAGTCGATTTGACTTTTTTGGTTCATCCATCTTGCTATGTATCTAGACTTATATTATATTTAGATGTGTAGCAAAATAGATGTACCAAAAAATCAAAGTGACTTATAATTTGGAATGGAGGAAGTAACAACTAAGCTTATTCCATTGTGTTTCTTTGCATACTTGTACAGATCTGGAGCACCAGTTTCACCACGGAGCAGCTCCACAGTGGATATGGCCTCTCACCGTGGAGCTAAGAAAACGTATTTGACTTGCAACGTCGCTCCAGATCCAGGAACTGAGATTTTGGTTGGAATGGCCTCTAATGCCCTTGGAAGGTTGTATGATAGATGTTTTGACATGCCATATTTTTTTGAACACGTTTGAACATGTCTATCATACAGATTACAGATTATATGTATCCCTAGATTTCTATTTGAATGCTCATTCAAATATTCTTCCTAGTTTAACGATAAATGTAAGAATTCAAAGAAATACATACAACTATTAACAAACAGCATCTACCGTGAGTAAAAACCACGCTTTGCTAAGCTAGACAATCTCCCTTTGGTACAACGATTTGGAGCAACAAAGAATCCAACAACAAGAAGTACCTAAAACAGTACATAGGACATCCTTTTTTTTTGAGAAACGGGCTAGATTTTATTAAGCATGGAGAGATATTACATCCAGCCCCTTGCAAAGGAGCTTCCACAACAAAATAAAATTACATTGAAGTCCTTTCAGAAGCTCCTGGAGATTGCCGCTTCAGTCGACCGGAATCGCCACTGCTCGCATCTCCTCCGTCGCCAGCAACAGAGAAGAAAGCCGAGGAGGAAGCTCAAGGCCGACACCCAACAGACGACGCAACATCATCTTTGAAGATAGCCAAAAGTAGCACGACCATGAACGAACCGTACCTACAATGATGAACGCACCGACAACATCGTCACGAAGACCGGGATCAGACGCCAATCGCCTCCATGACCAATCCCAATCGACGGAAGACGAAGACCCTAACACTCGAACTGGGAACTCCAACCAAAAGCTAGCGGGAAGGAGGAGCACATACCTCACAAGAACAACTCCAGGACCACCAGAGGTTTCTTGGAGGTGGAAAATACTAGCGCTATCGACGAAGTCAATAGCTCGGAAAGAAATCTTTGACTTCACCCCAGAGTCACCTCCTCCAACAATGAAATCAAAGAACCAAACTCTCCAATCGGAAGCAACGCCGACGAAGAAACTAAACAAACCACTGCTCAGCTCTTGCTCCGCACGGTGCACATCACCGGCTTGCCCGCATAGATCCACCCGCGAATGAGCTGCTATTGTCACCGGTGTTGCCACTCGTGCTCACCACCGCTAGATCCAAAGGCAAGTGTAATAAGGCCTTACTTGCATCATGTCCTCATTGGCTGTTGTTTGTCATCGCCACTCCTGCTCATCACCACTGCTCAGCTCTTGCTCCGTGCGGGTGCACATCGCCGGCTTGACCGCACAGATCCACCGGCGAACGAGCTGCTGCTATCACCGGCGTTGCCACTCGTGCTCACCGCTGCTAGATCCAAAGGCAAGTGTAATAAGGCCTTACTTGCATTGCTGTCCCAGCATCTTGGAACAAACAAAACCAAACTCCATCTCACGATCCACCTAGAAACCGAACGACCAAGGATGTCGATGGACACAACCAGTCCAAGCCACGGTCCCATGGTAGCATCCACTTCGACCTCCATTCCGGGACGGGTGCTAGTCCGCTCATGGCGTCGAATCCGACAAGGTCCAGGATGGATCCGTGAGCTAATTAAGCATCTAGACTGAGGATGGTGAGTGCGACGTGTGTGTGGAGGCAGGGCATGGACTTAAGGACTCTCGGTGAGGGTGAAGTGGCCTGGCGCGGAGGGCCGTCCAGGGTGAGCGTGGCTGTGTGCAGCCATGGTCGGATGTGGAACGTCGATGGGTCGACGACGGGTTGGGGAGGAGCGCGGCAAGGGAACTCATGTCGGGGGAGAAGGAACGTTAGATAGAAACAGAATGAACTAATACGAGGGTTTTGGGTGTGTAATCAGCGGTATTGGTGGATAATTCCCCAGCCATTGCCCTAGGCCTATCATCACATGCCCTCTGCTCTGCTATTTCTTGCGATCTGTGGCACTCGCTGTCGAGAGACGTGGAAATGGAGATAGGAGAGAAAGGAAGAAGAGATGTTTATTTGGCAAAATGACATGTGGGTCAGTGGGTCCCACGTATAAAGGGGGTAGAGTTTACCCATTCTGCTAGTGCATTTGTTCTCTATATATATTGTAATTCAGTTTTCTCAATAACCTATGTCAGATTTTAAAAGAAAGGAGAAAGGAGATCTGATGGAGATGCTCTAAATCAGGATTCAGTTATTGCAAGCAAAATTGTGAAAAGCCTTGCCGATAGCAATAGAAGCATATCAAAGTTTGTCTTGGAGAGCCCCGAGAAAAACGGATTATAGCTAAAACGACAGCTGACAGGGCGTGTACCAACAGCATGATACAAAAATCAATGTCCTTGAGCCTGAAAAGTCTTAATCGGAGGCCCACCTGGCCCTGGTCGGCCGCCGGCCGGCGGCAAGTCCATCCCTCCGGCGCCGTATTTCATCTCGTCCTATCCGAATGCGTATGCCACCAAACCCCAAATACATATTTCTAATTCCCAAAGGTCACAGATGTATGGCCAGGTCAAGACGCAACACCGACATCTATCACATGTCAGTATGTAACTATCACCTCGCGATGCAATGCAACCAGCAGAAAAGAGTAGCTGCGCAACGTATAAGTTTCAGCGTTTGCAGACCATCCTATCTAGAGGACGTGTCGGAATAACTAGCAATTGAGGATTTAATGAAATCCATAAGCATAAATAATTATGAACACAAACAGAAGATTACACTAGCATTGTGATCACGTAATATGAGCATATATAATCTAAACATCTACTCCCTCCTATAATTTATAACGGAGGGAGTACTACACACAGTTAAAACAAGCTATGTATCTATAGATCTATTATTACATGATAATCAATTCACTAAGATATTAAGTTTCTATTCTTAATATTAATGAGCAAAAAAGGGTTTTTTTTTGTCTTTCATCGCTTACAAACCGTTTAGGGCTAGTTTGGAATGGAAATTTTCCAAAGGAAAAGCAAAGGAATGGATTCCTTAGGAAAGTTTAACTTGCTGTTTGGAACAAAGGAAATTTACCTTCCTTCCTAGAGAAAAGGCTAACCTTGCTTCACAAAACACAATAAAAAAAGAATCCAAGAAAACCCAAAGGAAA